GTGTGTGTGTGTGTGGGGGTGTGTGTGTGTGTTCCAATAAGTTACCAAACTGGTATAGAGACTTGCGGGACCTGGACTTGAAGTGTTAAATAGGACAGTTTTGCTTAACTGCCTCTTACTGAAAAACTCAGAGAAAAGTTTTGCATAATTGTGTACTGTTAACTGCCCTGCTGGGGAGGGGAGGGTTGGAGTTTGGGTGTGGCTGAGCGGTGGATCCTAGGGTGAAATAATATCTGGGGATTAGAGTTCTCCTAAATGGAGATTTTTACAGTAGGAATTAAAGAGAGCCCTTTCACTGAGGAGCAGTGAAGTAAGTAAGTCTCTGTCCCTGACAGAGAGTAAGTTTTAGGCAATACAACCAGATACTGAATGTATCCATGAAGGAAACTTCCATCCCCATGAACTGTTTAACATTTTTTTCTTTCTCTTTAGAAATAGTCTTATTTAGCAACTGATTTTAGTTTTCTCTTGGGTTCTAAAATTTTATTAATGACAATCCTTCAGTAAAGCTGTAAAGATAAATTCCTATTTAGATAGTGTGGTCTGGGGAATTTTAAGGGACTGACCCTTCCTGTCAGAGAGTAGCATCTTATTGAGGAATAAAGTGAGCAGAGCCTCAAGGTTGAGCTGAGATGGAAGAGCTCTCTGGAGAAATGGCTTCAATTTGTACTGATTCAGGAGTCAACTTAATATAATCCTCCCCTCCCCACCAAAATGTGTCAGAGGGAGATCACAGAAAGGAGAATAATTTCTAAAGAAATTATCCAAGCTAATTTTCAGTCAATCATCTTATTGTTTAAGAAAACATTTAAAAATATTTACACAAAGAAACTTTGGCTTTGATTGTAAATGCTTTATCAATCACCCAGCATTTCAGCCCACTCTTAGTTCACAATAAGGAATTAAGTTTAATTTCGATAATGTTAAAAGAGTGGTCTGATGAGAAGTATGCCCAGGGCAGGTAGGAAAAAGTTTAATTACTATTATTCAACTAATAATAAGAGTTGAATCCATAGTGAATCAATAATCTTCCTTTTTATTTTATGTGTGTTTCTGAAACATCACCTTGGAAAACTCATATTAAAATAACAAAAGCTATGGTTACATAATAATGGGAATTACCTTGAAGTTTTAATGAATAAAAGATCTTGCTTTAAAATGATTTCATAGGAAGGTACTACTGGTGGTATGGAACTTTGTTCCACAGAGAACAAAAATTGAAAACCCTATAAATCATATTTTAGGTCAGCAGTTTTCAAACTTTTTGTCTCAGGACTCTTTTCACAATCTTAAAAATTATTAAAAATCCTAAAACATTTTTTAAAGATGTTAACCTATATCTTAAATATATACATATATATTTGTATATTAAAATTAAGTGAAGAAATGAAAATATTAAAAATAGTAATGCTGTGCTAATCTATATAATGCATTTTTATTAAAAAAAACAAAAACAAAAAATAGAACAGTGACACTGTTTTAGATTTTTGAAAATCTCTTTAATGCTTGGCTTAATGGAAGACATTTGAATTCTCATATGTGCTTCTGTATTTAATCTATTGTGCTACCTATATTGTTTTGGTTGAAGTATATTAAGAAAACCTAGCTTCGCACTGATGTATAGTTGAAAAAATAAATATTTTAATAACATTTTCCTATAATTATAGGTATTCCTCTTCACAGTGGTAGTTGCTGTAATGTACAATCAGAAATATATCAATGAACTTTTTGTACACGCTGTAAAAATCTATTGGTGTAACTTGTACTTGAAATGGATGTTTCAACCACCTGTGATTTTCGTAACATCAAGCATTAGTCATTTGAAAATACTGGTTCATTAAATTATGCAAAAGTTCAATATCTTGACACATTTTATTGTATGAAATCCACTTGTTACTAAATTTTCCTCTGTAGAAGAGTCTCAAGAATCAGTAAGCTACCAAGTTCACAGTGGTAGATATAAGTTTTCTAAAATTTATAAAATTTTTATTTGAAAGGTTTAATTTTATCATGACAACAAATACTGCCAGTGGTTTTCCTTGAAAGGATTGGCTTACTTCCTTTACAAGAAATGTCTGTCAGATACCCAAATGTGAACAACCATAAGTTTGCCAGTCGTTCTTTCAAGCAAATATACATGTACTCAATAGTTAAACTTTAATAAAGTTAATGTACACAATTTCACCAAGGACACTCTTAAGTGAAACAGGCAATTTTTTAGTGAAGGATAATGGCTACTAGAGTTTGGTGCCACTGCCTTTGATTTGTGCTAAGGCCCCAGAAGTTTTATTTAGTATTGATTTTACATCGCTGCAAATTCCAGGACCCCAAAAGGAAATAACAGTATTTTTTTTATAAAGAGCTTTGACTTTGCAGATGCCGTGAAAGGGTCCTGGGGATCCCCAAAGGGCCATGGACCACGCTTTTGAGGATGGCTGTGGCAGGTATTAGGATAAACAGTTTAAAAACTATGCCCCCTATCTTCAAGTTCACCTTCTCATAGAGGTGACGATTACAACAAAGCGTTAGCGATGCCAGAAGTACCCGCAGCGGGGAGGAGAGATTAAAGACAAGCATGGGAAGTAGAGCGCTGGTAGGATAACGCTGGGGCAAGGACACGAACCAACTTTTAAATCCGTGGAAAGACAGCATTTGGCCACTGATTAGAGGGATGGGCGCCTGAGGCGACGAGGCGGAGGCCTCACGGGAGGGGAAGCCGACGGAGGGCTGGGAGGAGGGGAGTGCAGTCCGGGCGCCCCGACGGGAGCCGAGTGCTCCGCCTCGGGGAGAGGGTGCCCCCGGGCGCTGGCTGCCCCCGCGCCTTCCCGGCGGGCCTGGCACTTCCTCCCGCGCTGAGGTATTCCCAGCGCCTCGCACGGCGCCTGGCCCGCAGGGTCGACCGAGCAAATCAGTACGTCGGGCCATGAGCTCGCGAGAACAGTCTGGAAGGATTAGACCTGGTGGTCACTTCATATACATGCTTATTTGAAACCACAGGAGCGGGCGAGATTATGGCTGCAGGACTGAACTCCCGCTAAACTGCCACCGTCAGTGGGAAGCTGGCTCGAATAGGTCCCGACTCTGTGCATAAAACGTTCATTTTGGAAAACCTGCAAACCGACTGACCCAGATTGTTACCCCTACGGCCGCCTGTTAATACCTGTCAGACTTGTTTCAGGGGGGGTGGCGGGGGACTGACCTCGTCGTCTCACACTGCAGTGTGGAGAGGGCGCCTCCCACAGTCTTCCTTTACCCGTCTATTTGGGGGAGTCTCTCGGAGCCCTCAGGACGCGGCTCCGGAGCCGGCTCAGGTGCGGCGGCCCCCGCGCCGGGCGAGGGGGCGGCGCTCAGAACACGCGCCCCACTGACGCGACATAGGCCGAGATCACCTCAGGCGAGCGCGGTGCAATCACAGAGCGCGCCGCCGCCCACCGCCCCATCGCAGTCCCGGCTCTCAGATCCCTCCGCCCGAGCGCTCGCGGAATCGCCGTGTCCTGGCGCCCCGCATCCAGGGCGCACAGGCTCCGGGGGCCCGCGGTTCCCAGCGGTGACCCCCTCTTAAGCTCACGTTCTACCCCTTCGCTGTGCCACCTAGACCATAGGTGCAGCCTGCTGCTTCTGGCCCTTTCTCCGGAGTAAGGAGACCTGGACGTTATAGAGTCCCCGCTAGGGGGCGTGGCCAGCGGCAGGCCCCGCCCCGCCTGTGACGCCCGGGTGGTGCGCTCGGGAGCCGGGAGTAGGGGGCGGGTGGGCCCGGCTTTAGTAGGAGACCTGGGGGCCGGGGCCGCCTCCGGACACCCGTCTGCCGGCTTCTGTCGCGCGGTCGATTCGGAAGAGCGGCGGCGACCTCGGCCTCCAGCGTCAGGGGAGAATCGAAGCGGCGGCGGGCGGGATGGCGTTGCTGGGTTTACTGCAGGCGGGCGGGTCGGTGCTGGGGCAAGCGATGGAGAAAGTGACCGGCGGCAACATCCTCTCTTTGCTTCTGATCGCCTGCGCCTTCACGCTCAGCACGGTCTACCTGCTCCGCCTCGCCGTCGGCTACCTCGCCCCCCCGCCGGCCGGGACGGTACGTGCACTCCCGGGGGCCCGGGAGGGGGACGCGGAGACTAAGGTGGGGGCAGGGTTGGGGGGCGGCGACAGCCGCTGAGCTCGGCTGGGCGTTGGCGGCGGGCGCATCGCCACTGCCCTGGCCTTGCTGGCCTGGGCGCTGACGGCCCAGATTCTGGCGGTGGCCGCGTGTCTGGTCCTGGCCCGGGTCGTGCTTGTCGCTTTTGTGGTCATAGTGATTCTGTGCTGGCCGCGGTACCGGTGGCCCTAATGGCAGAGTCAGAACTGGAGGCTGTGGCCAGGACTGTGGCGCTGGGTGCCGTGCTGGCCTCCAGAGGGGTGTTGCCGGCCAGGTGGGGGCCCTGGTGGCGATGCTGTTGGTAGCTGTGGCCCTGGTGGCCTTCATCCTGGTGACTGCCCTTGTGTGGTTCAGTGTCGTGGGGGCTGTGGCATTGCCCCTGATGGCGATTTATAGCAGTATGAAGGGGGGAGTGCGTTCATTTTGGTAGAGAGTGACTGTAGTGCTAATAAAAGCACTTTATCTAATTTAGTGGCTTTACTGACCCCTTCTCTATTTGATGAATGCATCCTTAACCAGCCCACAACTAGTTGCTTTTAAAAACTGCCCTTTTACTGACAGTGGAAGGTACAAACTATTGTCTAAGTCGTTTTAAAAATAATTTTTATTTGAACCATAACAGGCATGAGGCAGTATTATTATTTTTCCGACACATGGGATTTTTTAGGAAGTGGTATTTATCTTTGGAAAGTAAAGTAGCTTTAGTATTTTAAGATCGTTGTTACTATTTGAAGAGTGTGTAGTGCTTCTTACTCTTTGAGACCACCAAAGATCTGAGGAGTCTTTTTCAATTTCAAGTTGATTTCCAGGAGACTTAATGCTGTAATCTGCAAGTCTCTTTTGGGGGCATCTAATGTACCTTTTATAGTGAATGCCTAAGAGTTTCTGCTACAGTGGATCTACTCTTTAAAATCAGTGGATCTAGTTCATTTGCAGTGAGAGAAGCATGAGATGTGTTCTGTTTACCGATAAATGTCACTTCTTAAACATTTCCTTTATTTCTGTACCTCAAGTTACTGTTTATCTTTTTCTGTACCTTCTTTAGGCAAGATTCTGGGACTAAAATTGTGAGTGGTAATGGGAGTAAGTGGTGAAGAAACTAAGTGGTGAAGAAACTAAGTTTGCTTTTTTGGTCCCTCTCATGATTAGGCAAGTTGCCTAGAGCCACCATTAATAGCATTGGACATATTCTGGACAGTGTTCAGCATTTATAATTGCAATGCCTTTGTGTTTGTGTAGTCATTTATCCTATACCATGTTTTGAGTTTCTGTTTATTTTACTGTAGATCCTCCTAAGGTGTTTGGCATTTTAGCTGTTCTTTATTACTTTTTAAAAAACTAATTTTTTTTGTTTTTCAAAATATTACAGATGTCCTTTATTACTTTTGATGCTTCATTTTTTGGTAACTTTTCAGTATTAATGGCAAATTTCATTTGTTTGGTCATGAAACTGAACTGGATTTCTCTCTTAAAATGTAAACTGAAATTTTTTTGTTTTCTCTTGCAGAAAAGTCCACCATACATTTTCTCTCCAATTCCATTCCTTGGGCATGCCATAGCATTTGGGAAAAGTCCAATTGAATTCTTAGAAAATGCATATGAGAAGGTAAGTCTTCCAAATGATTGGAGGAAAATAAATTAATGCTTTTCAAACTTTTAAATGGCAGAACATTAAAAAAAAATGTAGCCCAGCTAGGATTTACATATGGTTTGATTTCCAAGTCTATACTTTTAGTAATAATAATAATAACAATAACAAAAACACTTATATAATGTTTATTATGGCCAAGCCATTCTGATATATGCATTTTTCTCTAATATATAGTGTGTACATATAATACATACTATATGTGTGTGTGTGTGTGTGTATATATATATATATATATATACACTAATTCTCTAACATATCTATGTTAATTTATTTAATCTTTACTACAGTTCTATGAAGTAGGTACTATTATTCCCATTTTATAGATTAGGGAAGCTGAATCACATTGTTGGTAAGATAGTGGTAAAACTGATAACTAAATAAATTTTTGGTGTCTTCACATAGCAAGTACTGTAGGAAAGGTCATATCCTTTAGCTACTCTTGTAAATTTATCTCTAGCCAATGGAAAAAATCTGTATTCTCAAAGATATTCATTGAAGAATTGTATATAACAAGTAAAAAGTTGACACATCATGCATGTCTAATAATGAAAGAATAATTATTAACATTATGATGTCTGTGTATAAGATAGAAAATATTTTCAATATAAACAGTGAAAACAGAATAAAAATTTTTATTTATATTCCATCTGCAACTGGATGAACATAATTACAAATTTGGATAAAAATTGGGGAAGAATTGCATTAAGGTTTATGAAAGTTTTTATTTTCAATAATGTTTTGTGACTTAAGAAATTAGTGTCTTAGTGCTGTATATTTTTTGGTAACATCAATATGGGTCCTTTTTTCTCTTTAGTATGGACCTGTGTTTAGTTTTACAATGGTGGGCAAGACATTTACTTATCTTCTGGGGAGTGATGCTGCTGCACTGCTTTTTAATAGTAAAAATGAAGACCTGAATGCAGAAGATGTCTACAGTCGTCTGACAACACCTGTGTTTGGGAAGGGAGTTGCATATGATGTGCCTAATCCAGTAGGTGACACTGTTTGTTCAAGAAAGATAAATTTATACTATAGTAGTTATAGTTAGTAGTGTAATAGCATACATTTAAAATGTAGAAACAGTTTATTCCTTGGTTCAAAAATCTGAGAATCATGAGATTTAACAGAAGGAAAGCCACGAGTAACTGACAAACAAACGGGTATTTTGCTTTATAGTGGCTGGCATGGGCCAAGCAATTTTAAAGGGTATCTTATACAAAGAAATAGAATCAATGATGACTTAGCTTATTGGAATTTGATTTGAGAAGGTAACAAGATAATTCCATTATTTCATTGGAGGGCTTCCTACTTTCCCACTCCTGCCTGAAGTTCTAGCATGAGAGCTCTTGAGCTAGGGATCTTTGACTTTAGAAGTTTGTTTGATTTCTTTTCCCCGCTAAAGTCAAATAGTGCTGTAAGTTGATGTAAAACCCAAATGAGATAATTGGCCCAGTTGCTTGGTGTGGGCTCTGGCTGTGAAAATATCACACATTACCTACTACCCTACCTAGTCACTAGTAGTTAAGAGAGTTGACATTAAGTGTTGTTTCTGAGGATGGGGGAGGTGGGGGAATGAATGGCTCTTCTCAGGGCCAAAAACAAGATCCCTAGAAAAACCCTCTGGGTAGATATATCCATTTTTTTTCACACAGCTTATCAGATTCTTAAAATAGAAATGCCCAAAGATTTAAAACCATTAGTTGTCTTAGTGTGAATTTATTTTATTAAGACCATATTATATTCTAATTAAACTTCTGGAAGATAGTTTCATTGGGGAATGTTACTTGTTTGGGAATAGAACAGGAGAATATGTGAAGGAACATAAAAATATTGACACATAATGAACATTCAGGAGATTGTGTTGGTATCTGGGTTGGAAGACTAGAAAATAACAGAACAGGAAAAGGGAGTCAAATATAAAAAGGTATATAGGAAAGAAACCAGGAAGTGGGATGCCTAATTGATCATTTGTCTAGGGCCTGTGTAACAGTTCTACGTGTTACTTCAGATGGATGCATAAATGCTCTAAGTTTCCCATATCTAGAATGATTTAAAAAAATCCTTTTACTATTTTTATTTTCAGTTTTTCAGAAGGTTATTTTCTTTGAGTGTTATAGAGTTATAGCCTAAGTGGATTTTGTGACAAAACAAAATTGTGTTTTAATGCTGTATGCCCTTAATTTTTTCAGGTTTTCTTGGAGCAGAAGAAAATGGTAAAAAGTGGCCTTAATATAGCCTACTTTAGACAGCATGTTTCTATAATTGAAAATGAAACAAAGGAATACTTTCAAAGCTGGGGAGAAAGTGGAGAAAAAAGTAAGCAATATATTTTGGTTTTGCATTTGTCCTAATATTTTTACTTTTCCAATAACTAGAAATATAAGAATACGTGTGTATATATAAAAAACAAAGTAGAACATAATGTAAAACCACTTCAGATTTAATAGATAGAACATGCTATGATTACCATGGAGTTAAAAAGATCTGAGAGGAAGTGATTATTGCTGCTCACTTTATTGCTGCAGACCTTAAAATGGGTTAATTAACATGAATGTTGTTCAACTCATTTGTACAAATAATATAAAAACGGTTCAGGATCAGATTTTGGAATAAACAGTGTAAAATTTCTCCAAGTTTATTTTAAGATAAATGTATATATTTTTTTACTCCCAATGGTCAAGTAAAAGTCTAAATGATTTAATTACATATTTAGTACCTTATTTATCTAATACTGTATGGGAATGATTTATTCTATGAAAAAAGTAAATTTAAATACATAAGCTTACTTTACCAGAAGTTTGATTCTAGCCCTTTTCAGTAGAAATCTTTTAAAATGTACTATATGCATCCTTTTTTTTTAAATCTTTTTTTTTAAAAAATATATCTTTATTGATTTCAGGGAGAGGAAAGGAGAGGAGGGAGAGAGAGAGACAGAAACATCAATGATGAGAGAGTCATTGATCAGCTGCAGCCCGCAACCCGGGCATGTGCCCTCACCGGGAATCGAACCCCGATCTCCTGGATCCTAGGTCGATGCTTTAACCACTGAGCCACGCCGGGCCGGGCTATATGCATTCTTGCATTATATAGTGTACTGAATGTTTGGCTGTTTCTGGGAATCCAGTCTTTATTCTGGACTGTAGTAGGTGTTGCCTCCAGAGACAGTTGTCATAATCAAGCAACATCTGCCTCTGTGTAGGTCACCATGTTCTGGGTCTGGTCTTCAGCTCTATAAAAGGTCAAGAAACTTGATTTAAAAAAATATATATACCTGGCGTTATTGTGATTTATTTCTAACCATACAAAAAGCTGATGTATACAAGAATGCTAAGTTAATAAATACAAGTGAGACATAATTATAGCATCAAGAACACCAGAATATTTGCTGAACTTCTCTTTGTTGGCAAATCTAACTGGAAAGCTAGATGATAATGTAATTTCATTTGGTGAACATGGAATTAAAGAACATGGAATTGCTTGGATAATTTTTATGACTTAAGTGTCAAACAAATAATGCTTGCCTGATGAATCTGTCTGTGTTGGGCTATATGAATTGAGAGTTAGAGTTTTCTCTCATACATGCAGTCATGACTTCAATTTTTAGTCCTGACCCTCCCATTTTGACTTGGGAAATAACTTCATTCTTCAGTTTTAGGACTGCGATTCCTTGGGAAGCACCTCTTAATTGTCATATGCACTATGACAATTGCTGGTTTTGTTATACTGTGACCTTGAACTCAGACAGCCATATTCTTTTTTTTTTTTCTTTTTAATCCTCACCTGAGGATATTTTTTCCATTGCTTTTCAGAGAGAATGGAAGAGAAGGAGGACGGAGGGAAGGAGGGAGGGAGGGAGGGAGGGAGAGAGAGAAACATCGATGTGAGAGAGACACATCAATTGGTTGCCTCCCGAGCGGGGGCCTGGGATCGAGCCTGCAACTGAGGTACATGCCCTTGGCCGGAATCAAACATGGGACCCTTCAGTCTGAGGGCCAACACTAACCACTGAGGCAAACCAGCTAGGGCGAGCCATATTCATTTTTATCTTTCAAGGAGAAAGGCTCTTGAGTGAGGTTTAGAGATGCCTTTGTGGCATTGATTTTGGCTGTCCAGAGGGGTGGGGTGGGTGCTTTTCCTCATTTGGTTTCTTACCTGTCTTTGTTTTGCCGGGTAAGGTAGTCACATATCTGTCTATAAGCTTTTTTGATGGTATGAATAGGACCTTGTTGGTTCTTAAGTCAAGTTTTTATTCTCACCTTTCCCTCACAATTTTGTATCTCTAAGAAAACATTTAAAAATAATTTTGGCACTATTAATGGGAATGACCTTTTCCCCTCTAGATTTGTTTGAAGCTTTTTCTGAGATCATAATTTTAACAGCTAGCCATTGTTTACATGGAAAGGAAATCAGAAGTCAACTCAATGAGAAGGTGGCCCAACTATATGCAGATTTGGATGGAGGTTTTAGCCATGCAGCCTGGCTGTTGCCCGGTTGGCTCCCTTTGCCTAGTTTCAGGTATGGATAAAGAAACTACCTTTGGTGATTTAACTTTGCATAATTGTTGTAGTGTTGGTATAGTTTGTGTTAACAAAGATAAAAATTAAACATTAAACAAACTGAAGAACAAATTGGCAGTTACTAAATAGTCACCGGGATGTACAGTACAGCATAGGGAATATAGTCAATAATATTGTAAAAACTATGTATGGTGCCAGGTGGGTACTAGACTTGCCGGGGGAGATCACTTGATAAGTTATATAAATGTCTTAGGACTATGCTGTACAGCTGAAACTAATATAATAGTAAATGTCAGCTGTACTTGAAAAAAAATTAAACATTAAGCAAATAAATTTGGGGAGATTATGAGCTCCCATTCTTCTATAAGAATTCAAGATAGGTTTTCTTTATATACTGAGCTCATTTAAGGTAAGTTTCAGCTTATTAAGAAGGTAGTTTGTTGTCTATCTGTTCTAATATTTTAAAACCTACTTATCTCACATATTCCTTGTACTCAGGAAAGTCTCTGAACTCTACCTAAAAGTGATACGGCCTTCTAAGCACTTATTTCAGACCATTTGATTGTTTTGTAGCATATTGTGAAAGTTTTTGTTTGAAGTATTAATGCCTTTCTTTAATTTTCCCCGTCTCCTTGCCAACTGTAGTTTGATTACCTAAATGGCATGGACTGTGATACAGAGAAGTATTGCCCATAGCTTGATGGACGCTTAGTGCCTTGAATATTAGCAGGCTTTCTGCCCCTTTGTTGATTCTTTTCTATTCAGGTGAGGTGGAGAGGAGTTAAGTTGGTACTTGTCCTTTTGTGTCTGCCACTCCTGTCTATTTATAGAATAAAGAGGAGTGGGAGTAAAATGGGAAGCCAGGAGACTGTCTGGAGGTCTTTGGAATTTTTAACACCTTACATCTGTAGGGAGCTTTGCCGTTTTCCAAATGTTTTTATCCGTATCATGTTAGAACATTCAGCACAGCCCTCGACCTAGGGTGGGTTCTCCATAAATGTGCACCGAGCCTCTTCCACCTTCCCTATCTCCTGGATGAAGTCAGAAATTCCTGAGCTTGGTGTGATAGGCCCTTCACCAGACTTTCCAGCCCAGTCTTTCTCTGTTTTACCTGATTCAGCTGATTCAACCAAATTATTCATTTTCTTAAACAGCTTTATGTTTTCTGGCTCTGCTGTGTTCCTGCTGTTAAACTTCATTCAGCATCTTCTTCCCTTCTGCCCATATTATCCTCAGTAACAGACTTAAACTGAGGCAGGGCAGGAGTTTTTATTAGAAGGCTTGATTAAGAGGGGGCGAGGTAGTCAGATTGCCTGGTTTTAAATTTCGGCTCTACTGCTCACTGACTTTGTGATCCTGGGTAGCTCTCTGTGAAGTGAAGATAATAGATTTTACCTCACAGGAGGTCAAAGTGGGTAATTCATGTAAAACACAATACGTGTTTCCTAGTGAGCACCCTATTTTAAAGGTAAAATTTTGTTTTCTGATTCTACTAGTATTTTCACCCTCCATAAACTTGGTTGTCTCAGAAAATGAAGAGTAGAATCAAACCCTGTGTGCTGCAGGCATGTTTTGAACCCTGGATTTCAGGGGTCCTAAATAAACCCTCAGCTTCTACAAACCCTAGATCCTTTAGGAAAACCAGAGTGACTCTTCATCTGCTTCAAGAATTAATTTCGTTAAAATAGAAATTTCATGTTAACCTAAAAAGCGTGTACTGCTCTCTGTTCAACTGAAAAAATGATTCTAGAGGAATAATCATTTGATTCTTGTTTTAGACCTTTAGTTAGAACACAGGTACAGTGTGTTAAGAATCAGTGATCTTTGTGTTAAAACACGTGTTTTTGCCCTGAGGTACCCTGGAAATTCCTAGAATTATATGATTTTCATCGTTTCTTTTTTTCCTCTTGGTTCTTAGTTTTTTCACTTATTTTAGAATCATTAAAGTTAGTTAAATAAGGTTTCTTTAAGGTAGGTCCTGGTTATTTTCAAAAGGAACTTGGTGCCAGGAAGTATTTTTTGAAGTTATTTTTGTCTTTGAATTACAGACGCAGAGACAGAGCTCATCGAGAGATCAAGAGTATTTTTTATAAGGCAATCCAGAGACGCAGACAGTCAGAAGAAAAAATTGATGACATTCTCCAAACTTTACTAGATTCTACTTACAAGTAAGAGCTGTTCAGATCACATATAAGCTGAAGCAGGAGATTACACATTAAAACATAGTTAAATAATATGTCTCCAGTTAAAAAGTAATGATGCTGGCAAAATTAGTAACTGTGACCTTTGGACTTTTTAAATGGATGAGACATAAATTACTGGGACCCGGTGCCTTACTGGCATCCCATTGATTACCCATGGTGAAAAGTTTGCTAGGAAACTGCAATGAAATAATTTGTAATCGAAATCATATTTTCTATTGGTCTGTCTCTTTTCCCTAATGGAAAAAAAATTCTGACTTCTGATTCACAAATGCAAGAGACTATTATACTTGAAAAATTTACTCATTATGACCCTTTATTTAAAGGTTGAGGTATGAAATGTTAAAATGTTAAATTTGTGTGTGTGGTTCATTCTGTAGAGATGGACGTTCTTTGACGGATGATGAAATAGCAGGCATGCTTATTGGACTGCTTTTGGCAGGGCAGCATACATCCTCAACTACTAGTTCCTGGATGGGCTTCTTTTTGGCCAGAGACAAGACACTTCAAGAAAAATGTTATTTAGAACAGAAAACAGTCTGTGGAGAGAATCTGCCTCCTTTAACTTATGACCAGGTTTGTTGGATTTTCATTTTTATTGATCTGTAGTTTTACTGATGTCTTTGATAGATTTTGGTATCAGAGTAATACATGTCTCATAGAATGAGTTTAGAAGTGTTCCTTTCTCTTTTATTTTTTGAAGAGTTATTGAAGAATTGGTGGTAATTCTTTCTTACATGTCTAATAGATTTCACCAGAGAAGCCATGTGTGTGCTTTTCATTGTGGGAAGATTTTTGATTACCATTCATTCTCTAACTTGTTACAGGTTTATTCACATGTTCTGTTTCTTCTTGAGTGATTTTGGTAATTTATGTCTTTCTAGGAATTTATCCATTTTATCTAGAGTACCTAATTTGTTGGCATACAGTTGTTATAATATTCTTTTATAATCCCTTTTATCTCTGTGAGGTCAGTAGTAATGTTTCCTCTTTCATTTCTGATTTTAGTAACTTTTAAAATAGTAGCTTATTTGATGTATAATTCACATACTATAAAATTCATTCAAAGTATACAATTTACTGGTTTTAAAATATATTCATAGTTGTAAAATTATCACAATTTAATTTTAGAACATTTATATCACTCCCAGAGGAGAACCAGTACATATTAGCTGTTACTCTCGATTTTCCCTGCGCCCTATCCCTGGCAACCACTCATCTACTTTTTGTCTCTATAGATTTGCCTATTCTGGACATTTCATATAAATGACCACATTCATATAATATGTGGTCTTTTGTTACTGGTTTCTTTTACTTAGCATGTTTTCAGGGTTAATCCATGTTGTAGTACTTTGGTTTTTGAATGTTTCCGTTGGTGAACATTTCGATTTACAAACGCTGTAAACCCAAATTTTAGCTTCGGTTTTTGAACACGCCTTCGAAGTCGAACATCTCACATGGCTTCCGCTGAGGGCAAGATCCTGAGGCCTGGCTGTCGGCTGTTGATCCCTTAGTTTTCGAATGTTTCAGAACTCAGTCTTCCGGAAAGTATTACATTCAAAAACCTAGGTACCACTGTACTTCAGTCTTTTTATTGCCCAGTAATATACCATCATATGGATTTACCACATTTGTTTATCCATTCAGCAGTTGATGGACATTTGGGTTGTTTCCACCTTTTGTCTATTATCATTAATTCTGCTCTAAACATTTGTATACAGGTTGGAAAAGCTGACATTGATGATTTTTGCTAGTGTTTTTAGTTTTTTTTAATTTTATTTTTTTAATATATCTTTATTGATCTCAGAGAGAGGAAAGGAGAGGGAGAGGGATAGAAACATCAATGATGAGAGAGTCACTGATAGAGCCCGCAACCTGGGCATGTGCCCTCACTGGGAATACCCCGATCGCCTGGATCCTAGGTCGATGCTCAACCGCTGAGCCATGCCCGGCCGGGCGCTAGTGTTATTTTTTAAATGAATTTTCATAGCTCCTTGTTATGCCATTCTTCAGGGTGATTGACTCTCTTCCTGTTATCTTGCCCTCTTTTCTCTTGTTGACCTTAGACAGTAATAGAACAAGATAATCTCAGCTGCTTTGAACCAGTTATCTCTGCACTTCTACCCAGAATATAAGCTATTTTGTAATAACCCAGAAAAAAAAAATTTAACTTAACTAAGTAAAATATTTAACTTATAAAATAATATTTAAGTTAAAATACTGTTGAAACATGTTAAATATTTGTAGAACTCAGGAAATATTTTCTCTTTTTAGCTCAAGGATCTAAATTTACTTGATCGCTGTATAAAAGAAACACTAAGACTTCGACCTCCTATAATGACCATGATGAGAATGGTCAAAACTCCTCAGGTGAGTCTCTAACTATGAAAGTAAAATCAGATTATGAAAGGCTCCTTGAAGTCCTACCCCTACCCCTTAGGCATTACGACTTTTTTGTGTGTATATACTTATAGCCCAATTTTGGGTCATTTGGAAATCATCTTGAGTTAAAATAATTTTTTGCTGGCCTATCATCTAGCTAGTTTTTAAATATATGTATATCTGATGTGTATGAATGCTTTATTACACAATGGCCTGATTTTTGAAAGAATATTTTAAAATTACCTAATGAAATGTTTTGCTTTCATTTGTAGGTTGTGGCAGGGTATACCATTCCTCCAGGACATCAGGTGTGTGTTTCTCCCACTGTCAATCAAAGGCTTAAAGACTCATGGAGTGAACGTCTGGACTTTAATCCTGATCGCTACTTACGGGACAATCCAGCATCAGGAGAGAAGTTTGCCTATGTGCCATTTGGAGCTGGTAAGATGATTATATTTTACATTTGAAATGTTTGTCCTGATAACGTTACCAGAACAAACACAAATAATCCATGTGAATTTTATTTACAAATATCTTTCCCTTTCCTAATAGGAACATTTTTGCAAATGTATGGCAATTTTTCCCATACCAATCTCTGTGGACACTATCTGGGTTCCTACAATTCAGGTCAATTCTGACATTCTTTACCTGGGGTTAGCACAAACTCCATTGGTTAAAGGCTCAGTCCCATAAGACTGCTTCCCTCCCCCCACTTCAGATACCAATTGCAAGTCCAGTGGTCACCTGTTCTTCTAACCAACTGGTTATAAGTTGGAGGTTCTCTCAGTCCCCTCCTTAGGGTTCCATAATTTGTTAGAACAGCTCACAGAATTCAGAAAACAGTTTACTAACTAGACCGAAGATACAACTCAGGAACAGCCTGATTGAAGAGATGCATAGGGCGAGGTATAAAAGGGGCAGAGCTTCCATGCCCTCAGAGCAGACCACCTTCCCAGGACCTTCTCGTGTTCATCAGCCTGGAAACCCTTGTCTTTCTCTGACTGGTTTATTTCGCTTAGCGTAATAAAGTTTTGATTGGAAGGTTTATATTGATTTAACTAACTAGGGCTCTCTTGGGAGAGAAGCTAAGAATATTCTAGTATATTGCCAAACTAGATCAGCATCGTGTATTTCAAACCTTACATGTATTTAACCTAGATAGATGCTAAGTTTCAAAAAAAGTGATTGGAAAAGTCATACAATTACCCAAGTGGTGTTTCCTCCTAAAAACAGATTATGAAAATCTCCTGGGATGTTTTTATTTATTTTATTTTTCAATTACAGTTGACATTCAGTATTGTTTTATATTAGTTTCAGGTGTAAAGTGGTTGGACAATCATATACTGATTCCCCCACAATATCTCCTGGAGTTTTTGTTAACTATATTCTTGAAAAAATATATTTTTTTTAATCCTCACCCAAGGATACGTTTTTTGTTTTTAGAGAGACAGGAAGGGAGAGGGAAGGAGGGGCAGAGAGG